AGTTCCTAAACTGAGCTGAAGTTGAGTAATCCCAATCATGTTACAACAGAAGGGAATTAAGGCCAACGACTAAGCAAAGTGAACCACTGAGCAAAGAGTCTAGCCCGGTCTAGTGATGTAATTTTAGTCACACGAATGCGGATGAAATTAAGGGGCAATTGAAAGGGGAGTTTGCACCAAGCAAATAGGCCGAGCTAGTTGTGACTTGGGCCTTGCCATTGGATTACATGACCGAGTTGGCATAGTCGAGGGTAGTTTGGCCGAGGTTCTAGATCACGCGGCTGAGTTAGCTCAAGGTTCGAAAATTGGATCGGGCTAGTTGTTCGACGTAGATCATTAGCCGAGCTAGGTGAAGAGATGGTCTAAGGCCAAGCAAGGTCAACAGGGACAAATAGGTACGGCTGAAGAAGTCGGCTAGATGCCTCAGATTTTGGCCGGTCGAGAGTAATAAGGCTCCAAAGGGCGGATTGTAGCGCCATACAGGAAGTTACTTAGTAAGTAAGATTTGCTACGTGGCCCAATCGGAATGCAAGGAGAAGAATCCACTAAAGTTGTGCGTTAATATCGTTTGGCGGTTTGGCCAAATGTTATTTGGCAGTATTGACGCATATACGTGTAAGGAATAAAGAGGGTAGTATAGCCACACGTCCAGAAAAGGACGAGAAGAGTGGTACGCGTAGAAGCTATTTAAACTGTGCGGTGTCTCCATACGACAGGTCTAGAACATTTGGTTATCAAAGCTACTTACCCATTTGTCTCTTTCTCTTTCTTCTCTCTAAGCGTCCTAACTTGACCGTCGGAGAGTTTTTCCTGTAGCACACTGCTGGGTAGCTCACCGTCTTTGTGTTCTCAGGTTACTCGGAAAGAAGCAAAGCTTGGACATGTAGAGTACGAAAAGCGACGAATATGTCCTCCCCATACAAGAATCCTCTCATCAAAATCTATCAAATAAGATCCATGTTGACTTTAAAATTCTTAAAAAATAAAAAATAAAAAAATACAGTCAAAATTGACATAAACAGTAATATGTTACTCTGTTTAGCAGTAATATGTTATTATTTACAAAAAATAGATTACATATTAGATAAACCAATAAAAAATACACATACACAACATTTTTAAATTTGTATAAAATAAAATAAAAACGTTTCTCGTCAAAAGAGTTCTGTGATATATATATATATATATATATGCCCAAGAAAAAAAGAAATTTTGTTCTCTTCTTACTCAATTATATGCTTCCTTTTTAGAGAGTTTATGAAATAAAATAAATTTGATGTCTTTTTTACCAAATAATGGTCCAATAAAAGAATTTTGACTAAATTTCTCTTACTTTTAGATATATATATATATATATTTTAATTTATAATATTGTTGTTACTATGATGAGAAAAGTTAAAATATATTGTGATATTTATTAGGAAATAATGTGATTATATTCCATATATTACAGTAAACTACATTGGGTTTTTTTATTTTATTTTAAATACACAATATAACAACTCCCAAAAAATACGCAAGGAAATGAAAGATGAAATGGGGAAGGGTCACATGTTAGATAAGAGAAGGTATCATTGAGAGATGACACTCTCACCTTTTAAGCATTTAATTACTCACACACTGCCTTTTTTATTTCTTGGGATCCCAAAGTCCCCACATGTGCTGCCCTTTTTGGCAACAGATTTGCTGGCGACCTGACTAGTGCATATCTAAGCTAGTGCCCCACTCGACTTCATATAGATTGATATATAATTAAAAAGTTAATTATTGCTTCATTAATCTCGTTTTGAATTATAAGTACCTCATGAACAGATTGAGAACTAAAGAGTTAGATATATCTACCGTGAAGTTGAGAAATGTATTGATATTATAATTAGGAAAATATTATGAATCTTAAATAAATTATTAAATTTTTTATCAAGTCTTTTATATGTGTGTGGGTCTCATACCCACGCGAGAAGTTTGATAGAAAATTTAGGCTCTGTTTGGTAGAGCTTTTGAAGTTTAATTCTACCCCTTAATTTGAGTGTGTTGTTTGGTTACAACGTTAGAAAATTAATTCCACACTCACTTTTTAAAATACTTTTCAAAACACTTACTTTTCAATATCATATGTCACATCACTCAATTCAAATTCTTTTTAAAACTCATAACCAAATAAATTTTTCACACTTAAATCATAATTCCAAAACTTATAAACTCAAAATACAATTATATTCTCAAATCATAATTCTAAAACTCTACCAAACGCAACCTTAGTAATTTATTTGAAATCCCTAGCATAACTCTTATAGTTAAGGTGGTATTTGATAAAGTTAAAAATTAAAAATTGGGTATTGAAAATTAATTATTGAATTTTTTATACTAAGAAATTATTTGATAAAAATTTAAGTGTTGAATTAAAAATAAATTATTTAATTTGTTTAAGATCAAATTTGTCATTTATTATTTTCAAATTGTATATTTTAATTTTTATATTGTGATGGTGATACTAGTCGTGGTGATTGTATGATGGTGATGGCTGTGGTAGTGGTAATGATAATAGTAGTGGCGACAACATGGTGGCTGTTGTGATGGCGGTAGAGTTAATGGTGGTGGTGGCATAGCAATAGTAGTAGCAATAAAATGATGGTGATGCTTATATATAGTAATAATGACAATAGTGATGTAGGTGGTGGTGGTAGCAGCGGTGGCATGATTGTGGTAGCGGTAGGATGATGGTGGCGGTGGTAGCAATAGTGGTGGTAATTGTGAGTTTATAATAGTATATATCGATATTTATGTTTAGTATTTATAAATTAAGTCAGAATTAAATAAGTTTTATATAATTTAAATTTTTCAAAAGTTTTAGTCTACATTTTAAGAGGCACTTAAATTTTTTTAAGTGATATTAATTATGATTATCAAACGGACTTAATTGATTATCACTTAATATATTTAGTTTTAAGTGTTGAATCATATTATTAAACACCCCTTAACTATAGATATTATACAACTAAATTAGAGTTTTTGGTCTAGTAATTGTATACTACTACTTTTTAATACAAGGTTATGAATTTAACTCTTATGAAAAGAAATTTAAATTTTTAGTGCCATTTAATTCTCTTCCACTGTGAGAATTGTATGTAATTATTGGTGATTGGATTTAGACGTGGTAATGGTTGACTTTCTAGTTATTATTGAGTTAAGTAATTGTTGAATTTTTAACTATTGTTGGACTAATGATTTGTTTGATGTTATTTTCTAATATTTATAATTATTATTCTATTAAAAAAAAAAAAAACAGAAGAAGATTGTAATATTCTCACCATGTTACCCCCCTTCATTGCAAATCCAAGCCCAACCAAACCCAAGCCCAAGCCATACAAGCAATCAGCAATGCTGAAGAAGTTTATGGCATTGAACATATTTCAAAAGAAAATTACACAAATACCCATTGAAAGTTAGAAAAAATACAATAATTCTTATATTTTTTATAAAATTACATTGAGTTTCTTTAATTTAATTCACATAATACTAAACTCCCTTTTTATCAATAATTCTTTAGATATATGAATGAAATATATATATATATATATATATGTATATATGTATGATTGTTTATTCATGCATGATTACACTCATTTATATTAATTTTGGTTTCTTTAATCTCATGAAAAAGTAAGCTACTAGTGTAATTATATCAAAATTGTCCAACTTATTACAAATTTTCTAAATCTCAAAAAATGTTAATTATTTACTTATATTTTAAATAGCTTTTGAATGAGTTTTGTCCTTGTTGTTCCATTTTTTTCTTTGTTCTTTTCTAAAAATACCTCACATTTTTTGTGTGGTGGTGTTTTTTTTCTTTGGTCTTGTCGAATGACATTGCAGTCAAGCATATGAATTTTTTATTTTTTAATATAGTACAAGAATATCAAATAAACTAAACATAAGAGCGAAGGGGCAATGGACAAGGATTGAAACCAATTTAGGACAAAATCGATAGAGAAATAAAAGAAATGTCTAATTAGTAATTTCTTTGACTCACTCAACAAAAATTAGATGTAATGAACATGATCTTCCTCATGTGTATACAGAATTCATATACTACAGAGGTGCAGTAAAAAGGGTAAAATTTTCTTATTAATAATTTGGTTTTTTGTATTGTTAATTCTAATTTTGTTATCGCAGGCTAATTATGGATTTTTACTAAATTAATGTATAAAAAAAAAAATGTTGAACAAAAAAATTTAAATTTCATTTATCTTGTTCCACTCAAGACTATGAAAACTAAAAAGGAGTAATGATGTTAGACTTTTTTAGTACTATAAGGACATACTTATGGGTGATTCTAAGCACATCCATTAGGAATTGTGCTCTCACAAGTTCCATGTATAGAGAAATTTAAGGGGTATAAATAGAATCACCACATACTTTCTCAGTCATCAAAATGAGAAGGTCCAGCTCCATCCTCGTCTCACGTTGAAACTTATGTCACTTATGTTGTGTTTGGTTAAGGGATTTGAGAAAGAATTTAGAAAAAAAAAAATAAGAAAAGTAGATAAAATGTGGATAAAACATACCTACATTTCACTTAGTTTCACACACCTTTTCCCTTTCCCTTTCCAAATCTCTCCCTAAAACCCCCAACCAAACACAGCGTTAATGTTAGCAATATTGAATCCTCTGTTCACCAAAATTGTTGTTTTCCAATCCCAATGCATTCCCAATTGAAGATCATATATTGAAAATTTTATATTTTTAAATTTTCACATTTTATAATTGAAAGTACATTAAGTACAAAGAGTCAAATTTTGAGTAGAAGATCCTTGGCCTTAATTGCTAGGGTAGCTCTACTCAAATTCAGATCTTTATCCTTTTTATACATCATTCTCTGTCTCCTTATATCTTATTGATTCATAAGATTGTCCATGTCAAAAACACAAAAAAAAAAAAAAAAAGCCGATTCTATAAACTAATCAAAACATTCTATAAACCAATCAAATTCAAGGAATCAGTAAATAGTGTATAAAAAAAAAGTAGATGGTCTTAATTCCTCTACAACCCGGGCCAAATTCTAACGAAATAACAAAAAAGAGTATATCCCTTAATTGAGATCTCTAAGTCAAATATGTAGGGCATTTTTGTCAATTCACATAAAATTTGCACTGGTTATTTGCCTCGATTTTTCCACCTGACTCACTCCAATTGTTATCCATATTCAAGACCGAAAATATATACCTAGCTTTTGGCTTGGTCGGATCAACTTGAAGCATCTCCAACACAAAATTCAGGGCTCAAGACTAATTAATTTGAATCAGCCCAATGACTAATCTCTGCTGGTTCATTGATTCTCCAAACTGTTTCAGAAGTTGGCATGGCATGCTTCCACGTGGCAAAATCACAGCCACTACTTCTGCTGGGTGTAAACACAACATTGACCCGTTTTAGTAGAAGCCAACAAGAACAACACTACCAGCATCAAAAACAAGTGCTAGCAAATTCTCATTAAAGAATTAAGCCCTAAATTATAGAAATCGATCACAAAATCAAACACAAAATGTAAATAAATAGACAAGATTTTCAAAAGTCAATTCCATCAACAGATTCTATAAAATCAGAAAAAGTATCTAAAAAAAAAAAAAATTCCATAAAAACTACATCAAATGGACCACATTGGTTTGAATCTAAATACAGCTTGCTTTCAAGATAATTTTCGGTGTACAAATTCTAGGTACATAATAGTTTTGAAAATCTCATTTGTGAATATGCGTTCTGTGTTTAATTCTGTGTTTGTATCAAAACTGTTATTGAAAACATATACCAGGAGGACAAATCATCATCATCATCATATATATATATATTACAGCAATGCTCACCATTTCACCCTTGTTTAGCTTTTTCTACAATTCCAAATATCCAACACCACAGAAAGCGTAAGTCCAGAGACACCAAAAAACCACTGAAAAATCGTAGTCTGTAACAAATCTTAACATAAAAAATGTTATCAGTCAAAGGTGATTCAACGTGTCAGGCTGTGATAGGTGTCAAATGCATAAATTGTACATTTCAAGTGGTTTGCTTTTCTATCCTTTTCCTCGTACTAAGAGTCATGAAAAAAACATCATGAAACGCATCATGAAGATTTTTTATCCCTTGATTAATGTGTGGTGTTTTATTTTAGGCGTAATCCAAAGGTGGAGAATCTTTCATGATCATTTTCATGATATTTTTTTCATGATTCGTAACATATATATCCAAACCGAGTCTCATTCACATTCATTAAAATAAGATAAGCTCTTCCCAAGACCAATACATTAGCAAACAAATCACCCCTAGGATTCGTAATCTCTTTGTTTATGTATAAAGACACGATTAATTCGATGGCAACAAAGTTTAATTTGATGTATGCATGAGGTTTTTACAGAAAAAGATAAACCAGAGTTTCAATCTGCAGTCCATTTCGAGACAATTCCAGGCCTTGGGTATTATTGGCTTGTACTGTTCGAAGAGGATGTTATCATCCAGCTGCCATTTTTCTATGGATAACATTTTATAATATTGACTCCAATTTCGTTGGACAGACTAACTTAACTTTGAATGAGCATTGGTTAGATGGTTATCTCACTAAACATACGAAAAGTATTGGCTGAAACTAAAACTAAAACTAGGCTGCATTATTTGAGACCCATGTATACACAGTGTCCTTGATTTGGGGACAAGGTGGGGTAGTTTTTTGAATTATTATTGAACATATTGGGGTGGTTCTTGGATTATGTGTTTAAAGTGTTTCTTTAATTCTTAAGGTTGTGTTTGGATCTTGAATTTGTGAAAGAAAAAGGAAAACAAAGAGAAAAGAGAGAATTCATTTGTATTTTCCGGAAAATGAAAACATTGAACTTCATTTCCACTTCCTTTTTTCCCCCTACAAAAAATGTAAGATCCAAACATAGCCCGAGTTTTAGCAAGATTTACGACCTGCTTGGTGCAGTTTCTTGCAAGCTCAAATTAGAAGCTAAAAGCATCGATCCCCTTGCTTCCTTTTTTCAGCTTATTTAATATATTCTGGCCTTATAAACTATAAGCAGAAGAAACACTAAACAATTTGGCACGACTTTCAAATAAAAAGAAGTTATAAGCAGTCCTATAAGCTGCACCAAACAAATTATTAATCTGTTCAGTGATATTTATTCATATTGTTTCTTATAGAAATTGAGTGGGTGTGACAATTTACCTCAAGATATGTCGAAAACAAGGATACTTCAAGATTTCACAGATAAACTAATTTATAGTCTATACATCTCTTCAAATCCTATGGAAAACATGGAGGAATAGCATGTATATTAGTACCCAATTACCAAGTCAAGATTGACCACAACTCGGTCCTCTTTCATCCCTAAACCTACAAGCAATAAAATAACGACCGATAGATCTCATTAATGAAACAGTAACAGATCATATATATCATGTCCATTCATTCTTGAGATTCAATAGCAAATAATCTTCATGCAAAATAAGGGACATCTAAACAAGCTACTGCAAAAAAAAGAAGTTGAAGAGAAAGGCATATGTAAACCACATGTTCGAAATAAAAAGTATTTGAGGAACAAATCGTTGGTTGTCAAGTTGGCTTTATTAGATGCTTCTTCACTTGCTGACACATCTGTACCTCCATGGACCTTGGCTCGGGTAAAACTATGCAATGGCAAGTAATAGAGTTGAGAAGAGCATCTTTGCGTATCCTCTCCAATTTTCTTTATGGGATTAATTTAATTTATTACTTGATAAAGAAAATGTCCATTTTACATGAGATTGACCTACGTCGCTTAATTTATTTGTGGTTTTATTAACTCTACTATCAATCTAAAGATTCGAATCATGCTGACATTGTCCCGGTACTGAATAATCAAATGTCATCTTGACCGTGACTTGAGTTTTAACCATTATCAGAGCCAATTGTTCAAGAAGGATAAAACTCTAATCCTAAATTTTCACTGTTTTTTAAAGTTTTTAAATTTACAGAGATTTCACATCAAACATAATTACTGTAACCAAGGTATGCGTTTTAATGTTAACACATCAAACAACTAGTATATGTCACAATTCAAAACTATGCTACCAAGGTAAAACACATTATTATCAATGAATAAAATATTCTTAGAATCATGTCGAAGAAGTTAAATGCACGTAGACGAATGTCAATTCCAACAAGTAGAGCCAAACTAGTTGCTTTTGTAATCTATTTCTTTACGCTTGTGTAAATTATTTAATTCCATCCTGTTAATTATCATAAATAGCGTCCACATCTGCATGAACTCACATTTTTATAATGCAGCCTCGACACTGCTCACAAAATTACAACTGTTGTGGTTGAAATCATCGTTGCTTATAGATAGTAAGCCTCCCCACCATTCTCCATTCAGACCAAGGAGCCTTTCTCCCTTCATGGAGACCGAACCTGTTTCCTGTTTTCAATTCCCTCCCGGTTTTAGATTTCACCCTTCTGACGAAGAACTCATCATTCACTACTTGCTAAACAAAGTGAATTCACGTCTACTTCCAGCATCGGTGATTGCTGAAATAGAGTTGTATAACTATAATCCGTGGGAGCTACCCAGTATGTTCTCCGCCACACAACCTTTTCATTTATTAATTTCTTCTTTCCTCTCTTAGATATCAAAACTAAACTGATATTTATTTTATTTTTCTCAAATTTTATTTTTAAACTTACAGAGAAGGCTTTGTTCGGAGAAGATGAATGGTACTTCTTTAGTCCAAGAGATCGGAAGTACCCAAATGGAGAGAGGCCTAATCGAACAGCAGCCTCGGGTTATTGGAAGGCTACTGGAACTGACAAGCCTATTCTTACTTCTTCTGGATCCAAAAAGATAGGGGTGAAGAAGGCTCTGGTCTTTTATACTGGTCGGCCTCCAAAGGGAGTTAAGACAGATTGGATTATGAACGAGTACAGATTGCCCGAGACGTCCCGATCCTCGAAGCTAAAAGGATCCATGAGAGTAAGTCCGTATCGTTGATAAACAATTTTAGTTGTTCTTGTAGGTCAATATGACAATTGATTTTGGTTTGTGAAAAACCAGATTGGTTGTTGCTCGATCAAATAAAGGCATGAAAGAATTGTGCACCTTAGTAACACTACAGGCGCAGCGTAGGATAAGGGTGGTGGACGGTATTAAGCTATCACTTATGAGTCATGGGTAAAGACTCTCATGGATAATTGTGTATATAAAGATGGCCAGGTTCCCACTCTCACGTAACAAGCTTCTCAACCCCATCTAACAACCGTATCAACACTATACATAGATTTCATGTTTCAAAGTTCACACCAGATTCGTTCTATTGTTTTAACAGTCCTAGACTCAATGACACAGTTCTTTCTTGCTTATTTTCTATAATAGTGTTCAACATGAATTCTAAATCTCTCTTTCAAATATTAATAAATATTTTTTGCACTACTCATCGTTACACTAGATTTAAAGTAGTCTGTTCATGCACATATTTGATAAGGCCTTTTCACTTTTTTATATTTTGCAAATTGGGGCTGAACTTTCGGGTTCTTCTTCACACCTCCCCTTGGAGGTAGCAGAAACAATACAAAAACCCATGATCAGCCACAAAGACTGAAAATCCAACCATGGCATATTCAAGTATATTTGATTTTCAAGTTTCGCTTTCTTTTTTTCTGATAAAAATATAGTTCTCCAAATTCAACATATTGGTCTAGTGGTTATAACTCAGCCTACAAACCTTGATGTTGCGGGTTTGAACTTGAGAGCCACTTTCATAAATTATGCCAAAGTTAGGTCTACACCCAATTTGTTCCTCCTAGACCCCCACCAAATGGGCATTAAACAGGGTGTAGTTTTTATTTTATTTATTAATTCAACATACTACTCTTGTAAACAGAGGACGGACCTACTCTATCGTGAAATTGACAAAAGGCTGTTGTATTTTTTCAGCGGCACCATGATGTACCTCCCTCATTCCTAGAGGCACAAAAAATCTTAAATAGTGTAACCTGTCCATGATTTGACCAAGTTGAATAACAATGATCTTCAGCCTCTGCCCTATAGAACATGTTAAATCTCTACCACTGTACTAGTATCAAGATTCTAAACAAACATTACAGCACAAGCATACTCAAACATGTATAGATAGATGATATCAACTTGATTTATAAAAACAATGTCTCTTGTGGTCACAGTTGGACGATTGGGTACTTTGTCGAGTTCGACTAAAAGGCAACATGTCAAAGAACACCTGGGAAGCTCGAGACAGTCCCGAAAAGGAACTGACCGGGTACTTACCCAAGGTTGAGGAGCTCCCTTCTGCACATGCATACCCAAACACAAACATCATCGCAGATTATGGACACAGAGGTTGCCAGGTATTAGCTTCCATACTAGCCCGCCAACCTCTTCCTAACATTGAAAGCATTTCAAGTGGAATTTTTCAAACCAGCGATGATGGCAACAATGGTGGTTCACTTTACGAAATTGGTTCAGACAAAGGAAGTTCTCTCCTCGCAGATTCTTTCTTTGATACCATTTTCAGTGCACAAAATGGAAAATCCAACGAGGGGATTAGGTATGAGAATCTACTTGTGTCTACCAAGACAGTGACCAGCAACAAAGACAATAAGGATCTTCCAGAAGTCAACACACTGAACATCAACGATACGAACTCCTATATTCAAAATCAGTCTCAAAGAGACATGTTCAGCCCTAATCCATTGAATGCTATCATTAGTTTACACGGGCTTAATGAGTTCAACTTCACCGGAAGATTTCTACAGTAATCGAGTAAGCTTTCACAGAAACCATGGTTCTTAATCAAGTTGAGCTTCAACAGGTAAAAGTCAAGCTGCCTAAAGCATATACCGGAAATAAGACGCACAAAGTCACATCATTTGCTGCACCACCATGGTAATGGTAGTTAGTAATAAGTCGAATATCTATTGTTATAATAATAGTTTTTGTAGTATGAAGAAGAAGCTATGTAATGAATGTATTTATATTTCTGTTTCTGATTTACAAAATTGATGATATACATTATCTCATAAAGCGTGACAAATTTATGTATGAACATAAAAATTTCAAATGGAAGAGATTTTTAAATGCAAAATAATAAATAAATAAACAAACTTTGATGAACTTGCAGCTAAATTATGTTAGGAAGATGTTTTTCTATAGCCAGTTTATAATAAGCAAGGACACTTCTATGAAAAAAGCATGCCGTGTCGAATACAACACTCTGCAGACACTCTTAAAAGCATGCCCGATACTTATTCAATGAGTCTTACTTAAAATTTTAATTTCCTAATAGTGGACACTTGATAGACACTTCAGCAACACATCTTGAACCCTCCAAACATGATCTATGTGATAAATCTCTTCATAATAACAATGTTGTTCATTATTTGAAATACAATCGGTGCACTCTAAATATGTCTTGAAATATTTATAAGATGTATTTTAATATTTTTTTAAAATATGTTCTTATATTTTTTCAAAATTGTTGTGTAGGACCATGTCTCTACCATTTAGATTACAATTCAAGCCTACATCAGGTGGAGGCTAAGCTTGAATCAAGTAGGTCAGATCAACCATACCTGAGCCAAATAGGTCAGTTGTAACATTGGTGTAATGGAATGAGAGTTTGAAATCAGATCAACCCCAAAACGAAAACCCAAAACAAACCTAAGAGCTTCATCTCTTCTTGATTCTCTTGGTTTTGATTTGGCTTCAGTCAAGGTGTCTTGTCATCCAATTTGTACTGTAGCCTAATAAGCACAACATGTTAAAATACACAGAAGCTTTAAAGACCACAATATGAAGACCAGATGTTCTCTCTTTATCCCCCTCCCCCTCCAAAGACCAAAAACCAACAGGCAATTCATCCACACGAGAGAACTTGAAAGTACTTAGTAGTTGTAGTTTCTGCAAAAGAATTGAGAAGATAAAGATAGATTTCCCTTGGAAGGTATAATAAGAGGGAGGTTTGAGTGCAGACTATAAAGTGAATGAGTCAAGCACTTCTAGGCAATTTGTTCACCACTCAAATTACTAAGCAACTTCTACTACTAGCTGTTGTGGGGCTGAGGAAGAAAATTTGAGGTTCCTCAGGGGTGTGCTTTAGTGCTTGGAGGCAGTCTAGGGGCTGTGAATTTATCTTGGAAGAGGGAGCCAACTCCAGTAAGGAAAATGGCAGATGTAGTGGGTTTGGACATTCAGTGGAAAATTTGGGTCAACAGGTGGACACTTTTTGACACTAACAAAATTTTCTGATTTCTTTGAAAATCCCACAAGTTTGTCCCAATACTTTTATCAAATGAACAAATCTTGAATCTATTCTGCACGTTCTTGAACTTTTCATGAATATCCTTAAAACTACGAATTTTTTTTGGGTGCATCAGAGGCATTTGAATTTTTTGAAATTTACAAAACTAACAAAATTTTTTATGTACTTCACCTCACCATAAATAAAATGGTGCGCAGCACTATTCTAAGTTTTCTAGTGCTGTTCTACATTCATGAGGCAAATAAATGGGCTCATTTTCTGTAAAGCAGGGGCTTGTTATGCTTAAATTGCCACAGAGGATGCAATAGTACATAAATTTGCCTGTGTTTAAGCTCATCACCAACAACCATGGGAAATGACTTGCCAAAAAAAAAAAAAAACACGGGGAATGAAAATCCTTAAAATCAGCTCATATGTGCAAGACAAAAGGTTGAGGCTCTCAAAACCTAGCAAGCCGATACAAGCTAGTTTGAGTACTTGTATGCTCCTCATGGTGCCCATGTCGAATGAGTTTAAAGAAGAGATTATAAAAGTCATGCTTGATCATTTATTATGTAAAAGGTACACAAGCAATAAGCCATTTTACTGGCTGAAGAGGTTATAAAATACAATATATCCTAATACAAGAAGCACGTTTTTGCCCTTTGATTTATATGCATAGCTTTGATAAAAGTAATGGCTATAATGGACTAAAATTATATGAATACAATCAACCTCAGGTAGTAAACTCTACAATCTAGATGACAAAAGACAAATACAGGAAACAATAAAGCAAAGACATCCAAAGATATACAAGGCAAACACCCTAACATATTTGACAATACAATACCAGACAACACAGAGACCACCAGCACTATGCGAAGCTTTTGTGATGATTTACTTCAGTATACTGTATCAAACAAAGCAGGATTCTGTTAGACTAATTTCTCTGGAATCAATAAACATATATTTATTTGGAAAAAGAAAATAACATGAAGTTGGTAAGGAAAGAGAAGTAATTGTCACATAAGCTGGTTTGACAGTAGGACCAAGAGCACTGTGACTGATTTTAGAACCGGCCACACTTCAAACATTTTGAGCACATGTGTATCTATTATTTAAACACATACGGCTCTTGACACAACTTTGAAGAAAATAACTTGGGGGGTCAATCATTAAAATCAAAACAATGTGGATTTCTACTTTTTTTTAAGATCAGATGGGTTGTAAGATGCCTTAAACAAAGGTTGCAACAACCTGCCAATCACATTGAATGCAGACTGACCATCCACACCACACTCACCATTATAGTTCCAGAATTTTGGATTGCAGGTGGTTGTTGAATCTGTTCAGATATCCAGTATCTTCCATGAGGCAAGATTCTGCAAAAAGATGCTAATTCATGAAAACAACCTTACCTCTTTTGCACTCTTGATTGCCTCTGGATTTTATAAATTTTCCTTTTCACCAAAGTAAAATTATAATAAAAAAGGTTTGTTGTATCAACTTATCTATGTCATTTGTATCAGTGTCCTGTTTCCAAGCACATGCAGCATTGCATTCAACATTGAAGTTCCAGATTAGCAGGTCAGACTAGTGAACCAGAAAATCCCATTCAAATTGGATGTGTTTTACATGGCTAAAAAGGGTAGACAGAGTCCATGTTTTTCTTTCTGTATTTTTTCTTGTTTGGAAGGTAATAAGTTCTGAATGTTAATTTTTGCAAACACCACAAATATCACTACTCCTAGTACTAGTTAGGACAGGGCTTAGTTGAGTTGAGTAAGTTATGCTGCTGCTATTTTTATTCGTCATTACTAAAAATGTAAAAAAGACAACCATCCATAAAGGCCATGGTAAGAAAAAAAAAAAAAAAAAACTTTCTCACTCATAAAAATAGGAGTGTGGTACAATAAATGCATCTTCCAATGTGATCTTAAGCTAGATATTGCACAAGATAGGGGGCCCACTTGTATAAATAGAATGCAATTCCCAGAAACACAACATAATGATGTCGACACAGAAATTTTGACTTGTCCTTATCTGCAACAAACTGAATAATTCAAATTATTGACACAATTCGACAAGATAGAAGAAATAAATGACAAGATGTGTAAGTAGGCAAACAAAATTTAATGTAACATTATGATCAATTACCTTATTAACTGTTTCGTTCATTCTAAAGCTGTAGCCCTATCCACCTGTGAAGACACCATAGACCGCACTAGATTATAAAACTTCCACCAACATAGTTTGATACTCTGATCTTATTGGAAGGCAGTTTGATGTCAAGTTTCCAACCTTTGTATCCGTTTCATCAATCAATGGAACTTGCCTATCCAATTCCTATAAGGAAAGCAACAAGTGAGTAAACTTCACTTTCTTTTAGCAGCATCACAATAAAAGAAATGTACAAGTGACAACCTCCACATCATGGGCCGAATTCTTCGGTGTATCCCTGATATAATATCTAAGCCTTGATCCTGTGTTTAATCAATTGAAATTAGATGAAAATGCATAATTATGGGAGAAAAGTAACATTAGGCTTGAAAGAGTAATTGAAGAGGTGTCGCTTGTTTCATTCTCCGCATTTCATATTCTTCCCTAAAAAGGTTTGATTCTTCAATCTGTTGAAAGAAATTCAATACCAGAGTGCCATCTGTGGTTCGTACAAAACAAAGCAAGTACGCTGACAACAATAAATAAGGCTCTTGTATATGACAACTGGCAACGAAAACTCAATAAAAAGCATTAGCAAACGAAAATCACCCTAGTCAAATTTGATATTTTTACGAGATGCTGAAGCTGTCCTGCCTCCAGTTTGTTTGACCATGGATGTGGTCCCATCTGGAATTGATTTAACCCTCTCTGGTAGTGCAAGAACTAGATCATTACAACTGGCTAGTTCTTCCCTGGAAAGCCCTTTGACCTGTGGTTATGTTATATTTCATTACAAGTCTAGCACAAACTTGCTGTTATCATGACAGATGACTTAAAAACCCAAATCTAGAGTAGAAGCAAACTAAATTGATGTGTAATGGCCAAATCTCATTCCATTTGGGTGGTGATCGAGGCTAAAACTAATGTGAGCTACCCACACTCCAAAATTAGAAACTGCTGGTTATATTTGAACCATAAGGGGGTGACGAGCTCAAACCACATGGGTAAAATGAATTTTGCCCTTTTTAAAATGATCATCACTCATCAGTGCACAGTTGTCTAATGATTTGTCATGGTCACTCTGTTGGGTATACCTCCTTATTGGAGTGTGGGACTCAATTGATTTATTAAAAGAGTTTTAATTTGGCTTGGTTTAGTATAATATATTTTTATATATTATATTTGAGGAGACCCAATTCAATTTGGATACAATTAGGATTTTAATAAAATAAGTCCTAGATTTAACAATATATATATATTGTTTATGGTTTTTTGCTCGGGGCGTGAGGAGAAAACAACAGCCGTTTTTGTGAAACACTTCATTGATCAATTTGTTTTGTGAGATAGTGCATATGGAAAGTCAATCCAGTGGCTTATTTGATTAAGGTATGGAATCTTCGGTTGGCTTCTTCGGTTTCGGCTTCATAAGTTGGATGATTTAGTTCGTTATTTTGGGTCTTCTTCAACTTTGGTTCAGAAGATTTTGGTTCTTCTATTTGGTGAGGTCTTTCCTCTTTATTTATTTGTTTTCGGCTTCATAAGTTGGATGATTTAGTTCGTTATTTTGGGTCTTCTTCAATTTTGGTTCAGAAGATTTTGGTTCTTCTATTTGGTGAGGTCTTTCCTCTTTGTTTATTTGTGATTATTTGGAATTCACCTAAGGGTGTTTTGTGAGACCATTAGTGTCTCGTTTGTAATCGTTTGGAATTATTTGGTTGATAGTGGAATTGGATTTCGATCCCGTGGACGTACCTCACATTGAGGGAACCACGTAAAATTCTTGTGTTGCCTTTGATTTAATTTTTCCGCATTAATTTTTATTCCCATTGATTGATTTACTTGTGGGGAATCACATCGATTTTCCCTAACAACACAACACACTCTCGGTGGCACATCCCTCAGATCAGGTACCTCTCCCACTTTAACGTGTCTCTTGCACTATGCTGGATTGCTCCAAGAGCTTGTCTTTCTCTAAACTTTGCCCTAGGGTAGGTTAAATCTCACCAGAATGCAGCAAAGCTGGCCGTAACAAGGATTGACCAACAATCCTCACCCACCAATACTTTGGATAACAGCATCCACAAGAGAAGACTAAGGTGAAAATAAAAAGAGAACAAAAAAAGTGAGGACTAAGAAATGCGATGTGAAGTAGAAGGGACTAGTGATTCCAGCTGCTGCTCTAGGTTTCCAATTAACCAATCAACCCCTCACATATTGAAGTTAGGTATATATTAATTCTAATCCTTAGAATTCCCTTGCATTTGTGGCAAAAATCCTAATAATTCATGTGGAATGTCACTTGAGTATTCTCGGGACAACCATGTGGCCAATCTAGCGGATAGGACAAACAATAATAAAAAGAAAAAGGGTAAATTACATTGATACCCCATGAGGTTTATATTTGTTACAGTTTTTTCTCTTACCTTTTGAAAATTACATCTCCTCCTTGAGGTTTAAAGTTTCATTACAAATTGCTCCCTCAGTTAGTTGACTATTAAGTCAACTGACAGATTTTGCTGATGTCAGCAATTTAATTTTTTTAAATATCAATTTTGCTATCACTGAGTAAATTACATTGACACCTTTTACATTTTAAAAATTACAATCCCCTCCCCAAGGTTTAAAATAACATTACCAATTGCCCCCTCGGTTAGTATTAGTTGAAAAAAAATTAATTGGAAAAAATATTAATTGAAAAAAATTTTTGTTAGTCAAATTTTTAAATTTATGTTTAAAAACAAACGTAAACTCATTTTTTGACTTTGCATTTTTTTCTCAAATTTACAAACTGAGACAACCATTTATGAACCAAAAAAATTATTAAACAAGTTTTTATAACAGATTTAAAAATTTTTGTAAATATAAATTAAAAACTGAAAATGAAATGGTTACCAAACAGGCCTCAGATGGTAAAAATGTCGTAAAATTAACAAATAATTAAATAAGTTACCAACGTAAGAAATGACTTATCAAAATATTCTTAGACTATGTATAGTTTGATTTTTAGATTTTTTTTAAAAAAATAAAAAATTAATTTGATTAAGAAATAAAAAATAAAAAATAATTATCATTTTTATATAATTTTTATCTTTCTTGTGGTTAGAAATATTTTTTTACAAATTAAATATATTTTTTCATATTCATTTTTATTAAATTAGTTTTTTTTTTTTTAAATGTCAGTGGGTAATTCGTATTAAATTGAAACGTCAGGGGGTGTCAATGTAATTTACCTTTTAAAGTATATGTAAAGGTTAAGGGTAAATATGTCATTTTAACTTAAAAGTTAACACCATCAAATAATTACATTGACCACACTGAAAAGGAAGTTAGTGTAATTTCTCAAATGTGAAGAAGAAATTGTAATAAATATAAATCTCAAGAAGTGTCAGTGTAATTTTCCCAAAAGAATAATAACTATCCTAATTGTTGGAAAGCAAATAAGGATGCTCAATTCAACTGAACAAAGCCTTTTCCAAACTATTTGATGACAATTAAATGAATCTTGCTTCGCCATTCCATATTACAGCCACAACTTCAGTTAAACAACATACTACTGTTACAATCTCAAACCTATGAGAATTTTTGTACTTCCTAATATTATCCTCAACGTTAACACATTACTCTTTTCCCTGCTGGGTACACATACTTATTACTCTTCATTGCGCATGTGGTATCTTGGTTAATTTCTCTCTTTCCAAATTGTATATTATCTCATTTTGCCGCAGATCCTCCTAACATCTGCATTTCAATCTTCTTCTGAACATTTTTTTTTCATAGCTATGCTTAAAACACAAAATGAAATAAAATATACAGTTGGGAAAGAATATGCTCTATTTTTATTATTAATTTTTTCCCTTTTATGACCGGGTGTCCGGTCTGGTTTACGCTCATCTCGACTAATCCTGGGATCTATGTAAAGCCCCTTCTTTCATATAGATCAGGCAAATCTCAGGCAGAGACCGTGGCTGTGGCCTTAAGAAATTGATAACACATAGTGAGAGTTGAATTCAAGACTTAAGGAGAGTATACCCCAGGCCCAAGTTACACCATTTAGGCCAACCCAAGAACAAGCTCTATCAAACAAATTAAATCAATCCATGTGCCAAAAATAAATAAAAAGAAGATAGAAACACCCAAAGTAAACTTATACCATTGACATAAACAACCGTTGAAAAACCATCATTATTTATTAATTAGCGGTATCCCATACTCCAATTCAATCATCATTTGACTTAACCATTCACCAGAAAGCATTAATTGTATAAAGAAACAGATATATTGACATGCAGGTTTTCCAAATTTAAAATTCCAGTCCCTTGCAACTTACATGACCTATGCCATCTGTACGGGTTTCGCATATGGGTAATAATCTGAGGCCTCTAAAACCATTAAAGCATATTCAATCATCTTTGACAAAATGCACCTAGGCAAAAATTAACCCTAATATATAGGGCCTCTCTCTTTTGTAATGATCTCTCGAAAATATTTTTAATTGGAGGTATTTTGTGACGTAATCGGTGGGATATCTTTCTTTGCAAAGTGCAAAGAATTGTTCCTCCATTTCTGTTTCTGCAAGTATTCCCCTCAAACTCGCCCCCTATCTGTATATACTGTCGACTCGCTGTTGGAGAGTGGAGTTTTTCTATATTTGGATGATAGATCATGCCGTTGGTTCTTGTGAGATCGAAAAATCTCTGGTTGGAGGTTTGGATCTTCTCTGTGCATTGAACCATGGCATGAAGGTGAGTGTTTCCATCTTCGTGGAGCTCCCTTGTGACAAGTATGTAGTATGGCTGACAGGCTAGTTGGAGGAAGGTTTGGAGAAGTTTCAAGAGTTGTTCTTTTGGGTATGGGCATTGTGGGTGGGTGAGAAAAACATTCTTGGCATAGAAACAGAAAGATGCTTGGCGAGGCATTTTGTAGTGGTAAACAATGAACTCACACCAGACGTACAAAGCCTCCCTATTAGTTAAAAAACCTGGTATAAATGGTGTGAGTGGTGTGACTGGAGGGGGGGTGCTGTATTAATATTACCAGCGCCCCTCCTCCCGCTGATCTGGGCCGTCCATTGTTGTACTTATGGACACATGTATGGATGAGGTTAAAAAGAAGTCACACCCGGGCCCAGGTGTGAGTAGTGTGAGTACTTTTGATTCCTTTGCTAGATAGTGTTATACGCGTGTCACTTTTCTGGTGGTTGTAAAGTAAATATTCTTGTAGAATGATAGACATAAAGCAAAGGCGGAAAACTAAATGTGTTTGAATTATTTTGAATAGGGAATCTTCGTCCTTACACACGGGCCACTTTGTCTATTTATTTGGTACTAGAAAACATTTTATGACATAGAGGAATATACTTTTGCAGTGGGATAACAATTGTGGTGAAGTTGTTTTCTGGTACCTTGTTTCGTCCCTCATTTTCAGTCTTTTTTTTGTTGTTGATTGTTTTGGTATACAATGTTGTACTCCTTAGAAGAGTATCTCGAGAATTACGGGCAGTTCACTCAAATGTATGTGGATCATTTTTTGACGTGACAAATAGGACTGTGAGAAGAGAGGTGACGGTCAGCTCCGACAAAGTTTGTTCGCAGGTACGAGGAGCAGAGGGAAAAAAGAGGGAAAAAATATCAAAGCTAAGGTGTCTGAACAGAAGGGTTAGCAGAGGTAAGAGAATCTACAGAATTTGTAGGATGAAAGATTTGGAGTGTTTTATAAAAAATGGAAGGAGTAATGAGCAGCCAGTATCGAACTCCCCTTGTGTATCGCTAGTTAAGGCGGCGGCCAGTGGATATAAGCGGAGTTACCGTGGTCGTGCACCTTTTAAGGCGGCGTACATTCGCAGACGGTATGTTCAGAATATTCTCCGATATATTAAGAAGACTAAGAGGGGAGTAAGGAAGTTACAACTGCATGATGAACAATTAAGGAACTTTAAATTTGATAATAAAGGTGTGGCGAGATTGCTTAATGGTATTGAGTTGGGTAATAAGAGATATGACCGTCAATCAGAGAAGATCGTGGATAAGGGTATAAAATTAATTAAGAATGTTCAATTGGGACAAGATGCTAAAGGCGAA